GTCACATTAGTTTTTGATTTCTTCTTGACCGAAACCTTTGCTGAGTAATCTTCAAATGTTGCTTGTAAGACCTTTATCGCTTCGTCTTTAAACCGGATCTGGGTCTCACTGATGCTGTCAGCGACAGCATCAGTGAGTTGTTGTTCAAATAGAGTGAGCTTGAAACGAGGATCCAAAACAACGGCGAGTATAGAGTGATGAGAGTGGACCGAATAGTAGCCTTCAAGCTTTTCAATAGCAGCCTTAGCTGCTTCAATCATGACCGATCTTTTTGTGCGGTGTGATTTTGTAAACTTTTCGATGGTTTCATTACAGTGGTCCATCAGTGCCTTGTACCACGGGATCACAATCGTCAGAGTCGCATAGAATTTGCCTTGGCTGTCAATCGATGCCTGTTGGAATTTCTCCAAGAATGAATGAATCCACTCAAAAAGGTTCCAATCGTCATCCTGGATGACTTCCTGTTACATAGAATAAGTTTTATATTAGCAACCAAGCTGAGTGAAACCAAACAAATCTGAAATCTGAAGTGATTACTAGAGCTGGCTTTACTCTTCTTCTTTGACTTAGATTTCTTCTTTTTTCCCTTTTGACTAGATCGGGTAGTTTTCATGTAAGAGGAGATAAGGTCGTCAATCGCCGATCTTTGTATAAGAGCTAGATCAAGCATGTTGAAGGTGGAATTCCAGCGTGTGGCGTTGTTGATGATGGGCTTTGATTCTTTTACATCGTTATCCTTGCAGAGACCTTGAAATACACTATACACTTGATCAGACAGTCGGATATGTAAAACCACTGCTCGAAGTTTGGTTAATGAAGGCTCGACAACACGGAGAACTTCATTTGCCGTAAGGTTGAGGATGTGGGCGAAACATCTGATGTGAGATTCAGGAGACCGCAGCAGTTTTGAGTCGAGGGCAGTCTGTATAAATTTATCGTTGTTTGAAGCATTATCCAGAGTGATCGATATGATTCGCTTTCCAAGATAAGAGAGGTCCACTTTGTCAGTGGATGGACCCTCGTTCTCCTCAGCAGATTGTGATTGGATATCATGTTCATTGGTATCTGATTCAGAAGCGCTAGAGGTTTTGTCAGAAGTATCATAAATCTCAATCGCTTTTCTTTTTTTTTTTGAAGTCGAGCCGCCAAGTTCGTGATGGCAGAAGAACTCCTCAAAGATCTGGAGAATTTTGTTGTGGATGTTGGTGCCAGTGTGCTTTTCTCGGAAGGGTTTGAAGCCTATTGTTGCTGAAGTAGGCTTCCAATCTTTTGAGATGAAATGACAAGTAAGGGAGATATAAGGGGTTCCGCCAGCTGAGGTCCAGATATTGGTTGTGAAAGAGAAGCGCTCGGACTCGCTTTTCAGGAAGCTAAACACTACAGGCTTACTATCTGCGTAAAGTGCCTTGATTCGCAGAGAAACCGTTTGTTTGCCAAAGATTGTGATCCCTGGGTCAATTCCTTGAATCAACTGGGTGAATTTAGCTGATTTGACTTTTGCGTAAGGTAGCTGGTCTTCAATGATCCAGTTGATAAGATTCGAGTCGAAATTAGACTGTCGAGACTTGAGCATGATCTGTTGGAGGGGTCCTTTGGCTTTAGATGTTGGCGGCATGGACTGAGAAGCGGCCGGACTAGAACTGAGGGGAGTTTCAATGCCATCTTCGGCATTTTCGGAAGCTTCCAGGGCAGCCTTCCATTCACCAGGGTGCTTACGAGCTACATGGTTCACAAAATTGGTCTTAGTCGTCTTGTTTGCCACTAGCGCATCGCCACAGTCGTCCATCAAGCAAGTACGTTTTCCATTTGAATCGGGTGGAGCGAAAAATGAACTAGCTATCTCTGAATGGCTGACTCCAAAAAATTTACGTCTCTTGAGCGGTATCTCTTGTGAAGATGATGGATTGGATTGCGGACCAGGAGTTCGTTTATCTTTTGGCAATGGATCCTTTTCATTCGCCATGATTCTGCTTTTAAACAAAGCACAGCATTATCTATCAGCCATAGATCCGCAGGGATTAGATAAAATTTGAAACTGCTTACCTTTCAAAGCCCCTAGTGGGCAGGAACCAATATTGCTCAACGGTCGACGGTTGAAGTCAGTGGTGGTGTTCTGATCGTAATGGAAGCCCAGGATATGTGGTATCAGTGGTTCTGGGTTGTGTATATAGTATATACTCCTAATTCCGGGTTGTGCACAGGGACCCTGGGGCCCATAGAGGGCCTAAATATGGTAGGCTGGAAGCTCCTTTGGGGCCACAAAGGCCCCGAATGGCAATCTGAGAGAATATTCGATTCTATTCGAATATTCAAGCTGAAATATGCCACACCATTATTTGACTTGAATCAAATACAAATACGAATAGTCGAATCGAATCGATTTGATGTGGTATGCATTGGTTGTTGGCATCCCTGAATCTTGATCATATCAGTTACACCATATTTGCTAAAAAATTCTATCACAATTTCCCTTAACATTCTCAGAGCGCAGTATCCTACCTTCAAAAACATCCAGTCCTAACTCTAGTATTGTCAATTTATCAAACATTTCTCCAACCTCTGTTCTGTCTTCTACTTCCATCAATCAAACTAAAACCCTGTTTGACCACAACAATGATATTTCAGATATATCTGTCAACTCTACTACTGTCTTGTCACTGTCCCAGCTTAGTGGAAACAACTCTCAAGGTGCTGAAACTGATAGCAGTACTCAAAGTAAGAAGCATAAGCTTAAAAGTAAGGTGTGGGATCATTTTGAAAGGGTTGCTAATGGTAAGCCAGCTATTCTTTGGGCTTTTATCAACTTATCCTACTAAATTATAGCACAAGTTAAATCACACTGACTGACAATTCTTTGTTGTATTTTTTCACTCAGGTGACACTGTTAAGGCCATCTGCAACTACTGCAAGACTGTACTCAGTGCAACGTCTGCAGCTGGGACCAACCATCTTTGAAGGCATGCCGACAAATGTTTTGTCAAACATGGTGGGGTCACCTGGCAGAGGCAAAGCCAACTCAACTTTACTGGCCATTCAAGGGGTGTCTGTATTTTCTCCCAAGATGAATCCCGTGATAAGTTGACCCAGATGTTCATCAATCACAAATATCCCTTCAGCATGGCCAAGCATGATGGTTTCATTGACTTCATGCAAACAGTTCAACCACAATTCACCATACCCGGACGGATGACCTTGCAAAACAATTCTGTAAATCTGTATGGCAAGTACAGTCTCCAGGCTGAGAGGGTCCGTCTGAAGGATACCCGGATACCCGCAAAGATTTGGAGGAAAATTGGGCATCCGCACCCAAATCCGAATCCTCTGGCGGGTATCTGTTGGTGATGACGGGTATCCGCCAGCAGATAGGGGGTATCCGTTGCGGATACCCCAAGGCCATCTCTATGTACCTGCATCTAAAACAGCCTTTCAGGAAAAAAACTTACCTGTGGCCTGTTCCCACTACCAACAGTGCTACGCTACACTACACTATTTGACCACTAACTGTTAGTGTAGTGGCTTTTTTATTTCCTGGAAATTCTGTAGTGTTAGCTGATTCTAAACCCCACTACGCTAACTGTTAGTGTAGTGTAAATTTTTCTCTCAAATTTTTTGGTAGTGTTAGCTTCAAATAATCTCAGCTAAACTAACAGTTAGTGTAACTTTTTTTGCGCTAGCAAAATTTTGACCGTCAGATAGTGTAACTGATTTGAAGCTAACATTTAGTGTAATTTATACAAAATTAAGCTACACTACACTACACTACACTACATGCCTAGCTACGCTACGCTACGTTAGAAGTTACACTGCACATGTAGTGTAGTGTAAATCATCAATCAATTAGAGAAATTGACATTTCAAGTGAGAATTTATGCTCTTGAACACTCTTCCTCTGCTTTCTATTTTCAATTGACAAGTTGTGTGAACTGTCCATATAACTGATACAGCCAAGGTTCATAGTGACAATTTTCAATGTCCTATGATCACACACAATCCTCCAGAAAATGAACAGCACAAGATGTAGAGACAAACAAACAGAGGATGTGCCTGGTGAGATTTGAACTCACAACCTCAGCAATGCTGAGTCACATACCAGAGTGCTTCCTTCACCAACTAGGCTACAGACCCTTGTGGTTGTAAGGTTAGTTGGGTGGTAGTTCCCATGTTTCATGCCAACAGCTCCACCACACTCTGCCCCCCCCCCCTTGCTACATGATGTGAAAGTGGAAATTGAACAAGTGTGAGAATGGAACCCAGTAAAGTATGATCTGAGGGGGAATTGAACCCATAATCTCAAGGTAGTCTGACAGGGGAATGTGGTCTTACAAGTAAGTGTTAAAAATTGGCAGGGGGCTAAAATTGCGTGGCCACCATTACCAACTGAGAAAAATGATGATCAATTGAGGGGATCTGGATGTAGGCCCCCCAATCAGGCACTGTCTTCAGGGTATACTAATGCTAGTCATGTGGTCATGTAACTTTTAATCAGTTACGCTAACAGTTAGTGTAACTTTTTCACCAGTTACGCTAACAGTTAGTGTAACTGAGGGTACCACTACACTAACTGTTAGTGTAACTTTGCAAAAAGTTACACTAACATGTAGTGTAGTGGGTTCACCCACTAACACCGCTAAAATTTCACTAACAGGATTTTGGGTAGTGTTAGTTGTGCCTTTTTAAAGGTAGCTAACACTACACTAAAGTTTTTTTTTGTTTTTTTCAAAAATCCTGTAGTGTTAGTGGGCCAAAAATTCCCGCTGACGGTAACTTTTGTGTAGCATAGCTTAAAAAGCTAACACGACGGTTAGTGTAACTGACCCACCGTTGCCAATACCCAGGGGAAGGGTGCAGGACTCACATTTTACCTTCCCAGCTCAAGGGTATTATCCCCTTGTGTTGGGTTGCCGGGAAACCTATGAGGTGCCAGGTACCCCGGGGATCCAGTGCTAAGTATTCCCCTGCTGT